CGCGATATCACTCATCTACACTACCCAGAAACCTTTAACCAAGACGGACTGGTAAGTCACGCTTACAGGTACCATACGCACGCTGTGTATGACTGCTAAATTGGCAGGTATGTTTCTTTCCGCCCTCGAGGTATAAGCGAGCACGCAGACCTCTTCACCGAGACAGACGAAGAGAAGCACACCAGGTATCGTCGGATTGTTCAGCCTGCCTATCAAATGGTCAGCATTCTGAAGCATCAAGATGCGATCGATGATTGCACAAACTTGTTGAAAGTGCGACTGGACAAATTTGCCAAAACAAACGAAGAGGTAGATCTGGGGCTTTGGCTCGAACTATTTGCTCATGATGTAATTGGGCACATCCTTTTCGGCCACTCCTTTGGTTTCTTGGAGAAAGGTACACATGTGGATTCCTTTATTGAATCTGTACACAACGCTGCCCCGCTTCTTGCTTTCAGTACTGCGGCACCGACCTACATGCGCAGCATCATCATGCTGGCCGCCATGTGTGTTCCTAGTAATTTGAAGCAGTTCAAAGGCGTACAAGCTACCGTGGTGGAAGCTAAACGCCAGACACAACTTCGACTACAACGCTCGGCAGAAGCGGACGATCAGAGTCAAGACATCCTTGCTCAGCTCCTGCGTAAAGTGGGACAGAAAGATAGTGAAGCTTGGTTCACACACAAAGAAGTCACACTGGAGTCTTGGGCTGGTATTATGGCTGGCGCTGATTCTGTCGCCGTCAACTTGAGGGCAGTTTTATACTATCTTATAAGGACGCCCGATGCCATGTCTAAAGCGACCCAGCAACTACAGACCCAGCAACACCTCCTCAGCGCACCTGTCAGCTTCGCGGAATCAACGAAGCACCTACCGTATATTAGTGCGTGCATTAAAGAAGCCTCTCGCCTTTTTCCAAGTACCGGATTCAACATGAGTCGTATAGCTCCTGCACAGGGTATTACCCTGTCTGGCGTCTACATCCCGGCTGGATACCACGTCGGTATCAATCCGCAGATAATACAATACGACAAGAAGCTCTTCGGCGAAGACGCTTTGGAGTTTCGACCAGAGCGCTGGCTAGAGAGCGAGGCCAGAAAAATTGAGATGGAAAGGGGGATGCTGCTGTTCGGTGCAGGAAAGAGAACATGTATCGGGAAGAACGTAAGTTTTCTACGAGAGATACATTGTACTAAGATCGTCTCTTCTGTTGGTATACTGATCACACATCTTCCTTAGGTTGCCTTGGCGGAAGTTCACAAACTCGTTCCAGAGCTCCTCCGCTGTTTCGACATGCGTATGGCTCATGATCGACCCTGGAAGACGTTCAATGCTGGGTTTGTGAGGCAAAGTGATGTCGTAGTCAGGCTTGCTGTACGCTAGAGATGGAATGTATCTTTCCCTCCAGCTTTTGAAGTAGGGTGACTTCTCGGAGTATTTGTTTTCTTCGCTCTCTCATTCATCACATAGTCAGTCGTCGATTATGCGGCCTAGCCTACAGACTCATTTGGTATGCGGCGCAAGAGTTGAAAGGCCAGAGTGTCCAATTGACCGCATATCTATATAGCTTTCATTTCCAGGAATCCTCCATGTTGTCGAGCACATTGTCTGCGCTTTATTGTTCCACGTGGTACTCTATGATCCGCGTATGATATCTGCTGTATGGGTCGGCTTTCCTTCAGCCCCCGTCTTGTCCGCACCACTATCGCGGTACTCATCCAGCGACGGCGTGTCGGCATAGCACATCTTCATAAAGCTCTCAGGGTAGCGTCCACCGCTAACCTCTGCCTCTTCGCACGCCTTGCGAATCTTCTGTTCCTCCTCCTTGCTTAGCTCAACCTTCACACTCCCGACGTTCTCCTCCAGGCGCTCAGGCTTGGTAGTACCCGGGATTGGGAAGATGTCGTCACCCTGTGCCATCAACCACGCCAGTGTCAACTGACCAGGCGTAACACCCTTCGCCTTTGCAATCTCGGTGATGCGGTCCACGAGCTTCAGGTTTTTGGGGAAGTTCTCGGCACTGAATCGGGGCGCATAGCTACGGAAGTCGCCTTCCTCAAAGTCGTCGGGGCTCTTGATGGCGCCGGTCAGCATCCCGCGGCTTAGCGGAGAGTAGGCGACAACTGCCACTCCAAGCTCGCGACATGTCTTGAGTAGATCGACTTGCTTGCTCTCGATCTCCAGCGCGAAGGGGGAGTATTCGACCTGTACGGCCGAGATGGGGTGGACCTTGTGCGCTCTTCGTAGAGTCTCGGAGCTGACTTCTGACAGACCGAGATACTTCACTTTCTTGAGATTGACGAGGTCGGCCATGGCTTGCACGGTGAGCTCAATTGGCGTCTTCTGGTCGACGCGGTGACAGTAGTAAAGGTCTACCTGCTCGATTCCGAGACGCTGAAGAGACTTCTCGATGGCCACTTTGACCTAAAAGTGGGATTACGAAGTCAGCGTATGTCTCAGCCGCAGTCTTTATGTAGGTTGACTGACGTGTTCTGGAGAAGTGTCGATTGTACCCATCGAGTCCTTGAAAGCAAACTTGGTAGCAAGAAAGATATCCTTGCGCTTTTCGGGGTTGGCCTTGAACCACTGCCCTATCAAGTCTTCGTTGTCGCCGTAACTAGAATAGCTGTTAGCCGTTGTCAGACCCATTGACCCGATAACCATACACATCAGAAGAGTCCCAGAAGCGTTCGCCTAGCTTATGGGCCAAGTCAAGCATTGCCAGACGTTCAGAGTCTGGCTTCGGCTTGCCATAGAATGAGGACAGGCCCATGAGGCCGAAGCCCAGGCGGTTGACTTGAGGGCCATCGCGACCGAGAGGTGCAGTGGGCAGAGACATTGTGGTATCGAGTAATGAAGCTTGGTTGAGATAGAAGACAGGTTGTTGTGCAATTCGACAAAGATGGACTTGATTTTAAGTGTGAAGTAGGCACTGGAACGGACGAAGTAGAATAAGCTTAATTATCGGGTACCTGATTGCAATGACGCTGGTATCCCACCCGCATTGACCTCACTTGCCACTAACTTCTTAACCCCGCTATGCATGAGATCATACCTATGCATCTGCCACGAGTACTGTAGCTTCACATCCCATTGAGACGTAGTACCTCAACGGAGATTGAAACCTAAGGGCCGACTCTGTGAGCAATTTGTTTGTTCGTCCGAAGAATTGAGCATCGTGAAATTCCCCGCTCTGGAGTCGGCGGAGCAAGACGGAGATAAGCTACCAGAGCTCCGGTCACATGGCTGAAGCCTGAAGGAGGTACCAGTTGGTCCGGAGTCAAGCATCAGGCATCCAGGCCGTATTTGACGCGTTGCACGTTGTGTCGCTTGGCATGGAGGTCTCTCACACGTCGCGGCAGGCGACAAGGTTCCCAAGGTTCCTGCCAAGCTCCCCGATGACCAAGTTAGCGTCCGTCAAACCTCACCACATCACCTCCCCCCACCAATGCATGCCCCGGTACCTTCTTTGTAATGCGGTCGCCATGCTTACGCGACGCCGACGTTCAACCTCAGACAATCTGCTCGCGCACTTACACCTACGGATAATCTAGTAAAGGCAGCACAGCATGACCGCCGAAGTACGCGACCTCAAGCCGCTCAACATCAGACCCGTCCAGCATCAAGTCCACGACCCGCTCAAGACAGACCCTTTCGCCTTCGATCACCACGATGACACCATCCATGTCCTCCTATGCGCCTCAGGTTCTGTTGCGACCATCAAGATACCGAACATGATCAACGCGCTTGCGAAACACGCGAACGTACGAATACGGCTTGTCTTCACGGCTGCGGCAACCAACTTCTTGCAAGGCCAGAGCGGGGAGCAGCCTTCGATAGAGGAGATAGAGGCGTTGCCGAACGTGGATGGAGTATACTTTGACGAGGACGAGTGGAGAGAGCCATGGATCCGAGGCAACAAGATCCTCCACATTGAGCTACGGCGATGGGCAGACATCATGGTCATTGCACCCTTGAGTGCCGATCTACTCGCCAAGATCACACAGGGTTGGTCAGACAACCTCCTGCTGTCCGTCGCGCGCGCATGGGATACCACAGGTCTGATCGATCCAGTGAGGAGTATACCAGGCGTGCAATGGCCGCAAGAAGATGGCGGCATACAGAAGAAGAGGATAGTGGTCGCTCCGAGCATGAATACCGCTATGTGGTTCCAGCCCATCACCAAGAAACAGTTGCATGTGCTGGAAGAAGAGTGGGGAGTAAAGAATGGAGGCTGGTATGAGGTACTGCAACCTATGGAGAAAGAGCTAGCGTGTGGAGACATTGGTGGCGGCGCGATGAAAGATTGGAGGGAGATTGTGGTAGCGGTTGAGCAGCGGCTAGGCCTGCTGCCGTGATAGCTTCTCACATGCACTCTTCTTGTACGGTTAGAGTCCCTACTGCTTAGAAAAATACTAATATCTATGTCAGGGATTCAAGCCACATCGTGCTACGCCATCGCATACATACCCGAGCACAGAACGGCGCAGCAAGAGAGAGGGCATACTGCTTCACGTGAGTAAAAAGATGGCATACACAAAAGAGCAAAAAGACAGAACTTAGATAGGTGCCCCTCTCACGCACCGTATGCTGACAGCCTCCTTAATTTCTTAAACCAGACCACGGTCTGTGCTGTCTCGCTTCTGTCTTTGTCGATGCTCGAATCGGCGACCTTGACCTAGCGAGCTGAGCAGGCGATATGCCCAACGGCGCCAGGCCGGACTCGAGTCTTGATGAATAACTCTTGAAAGTCAACGTCTTTATACCAGAGGCTACCAGTTATACTATATCAGAGGTGAGGAAATCCATGTTGCAATGTTGACAGTGACGGTGATGGGCGTTGAGCGTTTGTTGTGGTGGTCGGTGTTGCGAAAACTGAGACCTTCGTTCACCTGGTGACAAGAACCAAACGAGACTGAAACTAGAGCAATGAGAGCGCGATGTCGTCATTTCCGCGCCTTCACTTTATGGAGTGTAGCAAAGTTCTCGATCACAATAACATGAACTGTCAGCCTGACGATTACCGCCAGCAGAACAACATGGCGCCCAGCAAGTCCACAGCAAACGCAGATGTCCCAGCCTCCCCGAGCGCTACCTATTCTAGTTCTGTTCTTGCAACCTTGAAGTCGTCGGTAAGTAATCGCTTCTCTCACCTTGGTGTTTGCTTTTGACATGTGGGCAGATACAGAACACGAAAGCGAAGCTCAACGCTCTCCGGCCAACCAAACAACCGAAGGTTACCAAACCAGGAACGAGGAGCAAGACGGTCGACGAGCGAGAGCGTCTCCAACGAACAGCAAAACGACTTTCCGTCATCGATGAGCCCGCTACTGGCCTTAATGTCTCCTCCACCAGCGACGAACTGCGGAGCGACCCCGCAGCGTCATCAATCCTATCCACCGGCTCCGATCCCCATCCTTCGCTCACAGCGCGCGACTTCGAAGTCGGCGGTACGCTTGGTCGTGGGAAATTTGGGCGCGTATACCTCGCCCGTCATCTCGCGACAGATTACGTGTGCGCTCTCAAGATCATATCAAAAGCGCAGGCTACAACACAAGAAGAGGAGAAGTTGATACGCCGCGAGCTAGAGATCCATCAAAACCTCGCGCATAAGAACATCTTGAAGTTACTGTCATGGTTTCACGACGACGAATCGATATACCTTGTGCTCGAATTTGCTCCGGGTGGCAGTCTTTACTCGAAGATGAACAAGCAGCCCAAGGGCAGGTTCACAGAGCATCAAACAGCCGTCTATATCGCTCAACTCACGTCCGCACTACGCTACATGCATAGCAAAAACATTATGCACCGCGACATCAAGCCCGAAAACATACTACTTGGTTTCCACGGCGAGATCAAGCTTGCTGACTTTGGATACTCTGTACACTCAGAATCAGGGTTCAGATCAACGGTGTGCGGCACACTAGATTACCTAAGCCCAGAGGTTGCGGTCATGACGCTCAAGCCCGGAATGAGCGGAGGGTGGTACACGAAGGCGATCGACCAGTGGAGTCTGGGCGTCTTGATGTACGAGCTTCTTGTGGGTAAGCCGCCATTCGAGATGAAAGACATGAAGAGCACACAAAAGAAGATTGCGAACTTCAAGGGTAAAGGCATCAAGTTCCCAGGACATGTCAGCGAGCGCGCGGAGGAGCTGATTCGCGAGGTAAGTGACACCCTCTCGCCTTATGTGTGCTCACAACAAAGCCGTACTGACTTCGCAAAAGTTGCTCAATTTGGATGCTGAGAAGCGGATGAGTCTTGACGACGTTATGACACACCCTTGGATCGTCGACCACGTCGCAAAGTCGGTTCAGTCAGGCATCCGATCATTTGATCAGCTGCTTCAGCTTGGTGCCTGAGGGCCTGATGAGGCGGTGGAATATCGTCACAGATGGGGGCCGAATTGTATGTCTAGTGTCCTCACCCTGCCAAACAGCGATCTCGTATTTGACGGGCCGAATATGGCGGCTGCCTGATACTTCAGCTTCTGACCTGTCCTGCACCTCGGGAGGCAGCCATATCAAGCCATGTACTACGCACTGTCTCAAGATTTGCGCAGGCCGGTAGGGGATCGGGACTAGTGTTGGCGGGTTCGGGTGAGCATCAGATGGCACTTACCCATGAATGGTATCCCGTTGAGCTTGTAGTCTACCTCAAGATGATGCAACGAGCATCCCGTACAATAAGCCTTCCGCTAGGCAGATCCGATTCGTCATGTTTCTAAATGCGGTAAATTTTGAGAGGTGGTGGTTGAACTGCGTGCACGACATGAGATGTACCTGTCAAACGTGGAGGTCTTGGCACGACCTCAGGGGCATGTTGACGTTACAGAACGTAACATGAACAGCAACATTCATCCATTACGCTCAACATCTGAATATTGCACATTTCCACAAACTCTGGCTGTTCTCACAGCTTGCCATCTTTTGTCAAGAATATGTCTGGTGGACCCTGACCGGTGGCCGTAATAGCTCTGGTCGCTCGCCTAGCCATGCAAGCGCCATGCTGCATTGGATACTCGTCCGCGCCTCACCCTCAATACTGCATGCTACTGAGCCATGCTTGGCGCGCTACTGCTGTGCGGTGGCACACCAGCAAAAAGCGACATAAACATGCGAGAAAAAGCTATTGCACTTGGCGTTTGATGATCTCATTGGCGGTTGGACTCGCCTGTGGTCTCGCGCAATTCCAATCCACGTCCCTCAGTAAACGCCTCGATGCACTTGTGTGTTTGAGCCAAGACATAATGTCGCGCCCGCAATGCGCTTTGCAATGGCTTGCATTGTTCCATGGTGCAGAGATGGGCTGTGGACACCGGATGGGCGGTGCATAGCTCGCAGCTGAGCGGTGTTTATTGGTAGGCTGTAGATTTTCAGCCCTACTAGCAGGCTAGCTAACTCAAAGGCGGGTGTCGATTGCGGAGATCCTGGCGCTATCACTCATCCATCTGATTGCGGCTCAGGCCTCCCGAAAGCCTAGACCGATGAAGGTAAAGCACTTCAGGGTGCGCCTTTGCTCGTTTACTCGTTTATACTCCTATATCAGGTCGGAACATCCTGCAGTCTTCCAGCTGAGACATCACCAGCTTTTGAAGTTCCCAACACTTCGGCTGTCACTTCCCTCTCGGCCACGTGGGTCTTGTACTATCTTGTTGAGCAGTGTACTTTGTTTTATTCACTGCTCGTGCGTCGTCCAATAATCCTTCCTATTTCTTTGGACGAGACCGGCCTCGAGGCCAACACACATCATTATGCTGAAGAATACACTACTCCTGGCTTCAACAGCACTCGTCGCAGCGCAATCCTCCTCCTCTGAGCCATGCGCGAGTGTTGCGTCACAGCTCCAGGAATCGACGAGTATCGAGGCACAGGCCGCGTTTGACTGTCTGGATTCAGTCCCAGTTGACGTCCAAGGAAACTCTCAACTGATCGATGAGCTAAAGGAGCTTTGGCAGTTCCAGTCTGAACTCGTATGGCTGAAGAAACCTGGCGATGACTGGGAGTTCGGACCCCTGGATATCGAAGCCGAACTGGACAACGTAAAGAACAACCTCGATTCTTTCTCCAGCGAATATGCGGTTCAACTCGCCATCCAAAACATCACTATCCGGACCGGAAATTTCCACTTCAACTACCGGCCTGATATACTTCAGGTGTTCTCATTCTTCAGACAGGCCAATGTTGCGTCCATCTCCGAGGATGGCAAAGCGCTTCCAAAGCTCTATTTGGCTGATGATGTTGCAAGTGTAGCCGAGGGTAGCTCAGATGTTTCCGAGATCACGGAAATCAACGGTCAGAACCCATACGACTTCCTGACGTCTAATTCCTGGTCACAGTACATCGACTCCGATGGACTACTCAACAACATGCTGGCAAAGGGAGACACGGATAACACTGGCGCGTTTATGGATCAAACGAAATACGACGGCCCCAGCACTGATATCACTTGGGCAAATGGCTCTACAGCTTCCGTTCCGAACGGAGCTAGCACAGATCGCAGCTTCGTTGGCATAACCGATGGACAGTCTTTCTTCGATACCTTCTGCGTCGGTTCAAGCGACTCACCTCTCTCAGCTAGCACAAAGGGTGCTTCTGACTCGTCCGATGTCGCTCTTCCAAAACCCATGCTACCTTCTGTATTCAACCACATTATTGCGCCCAGTGCTCCCGGACCAGTTCCTCGAATTCCTCTCGGTACAAACCGCAACAAACGACAAACGATGGGAACATCCCCCGGTTCCTATGCGGAGAACGTTGTTGCAGCGGACTCGAACGGTGTTGTTGTTGGTGCCTTCCTCAGTGGAGAAGGTTATGATGATATAGCGGTCCTCAAGATCATATCATTCAGCAACCCGGGTAGTGACTTGACCGAAAGTGAGTTCGGCACGGATTTTCAGGTAAGTCATTGATAAACAGCGTGCATACCAGACATGAACTGACGTCATCTTCTCCGCCACATAGCAAACCGTTTCTTCCTTCCTCACTCAATGCATGGGCGAGAACAAGCAGAAACTCATCATCGATCTGCGCGAGAATGGAGGCGGCAGCACAAACCTACTTCTCGACACATTCATACAGCTGTTCCCCGAGATGGAGCCTTTCTCTGGACAGCGATACAGGGCCAGCGATGCTTTTGTTAAGATTGGCGATGCGGTTAATGAGATCAGAAGTGACTCCGCCAAGGCTAATGAGTATGCCTCATTGCTCAATGAGAGCATAGAAGAGGGCTCCATGTACAGATATTGGTCATGGTGGCACTTCCGCAATGCTGACGGGGCCGACTTCAAGGGCTGGGATGACTTTGATGGTCCGGTCGAATTGAACGGCGACTCATTCACCAGGACGATGCGGTACAACTACACCGATCAAGTGTCCATCCTTCCCCCAGACTGGTATTTTACGAACGGCACTCGTCCCACCCCTTTCAAGGCGGAGAACGTCGTCATGTATACCGATGCCCTATGTGGTTCATCTTGCGCTTCTTTCCACGAAGAGCTCAAGAACATCGCCGGTGTCAAGGCAGTGACAGTCGGTGGCCGTCCAGAGAACAAGCCCATCCAAACTGTGACCGGATCAAAGGGTGGTGGTAAGTAACATCCCTATAAGCTTTACACATGAGACATGCGCTGACATGGTACACCACGATTTAGAAGTAACGCCTCTGTTTTTCTGGCAACAGTACGCCCAAGTCGCATTGAACATAAGCACCGCCCTTTCCCTATCGGCCTACTCCGACAATGACGCCGCCCTCTCTGCCGTCGCCAACGTCCCGCAAGTACTTACACGCGCCGGAGACCGATCATCGCGCCTTCAGTCCCAGGACCAGGTCCGAAAAGGCGATGCTTCTGGAACACCTCTGCAGTACATCTACGAAGCCAGTGACTGCAAGATCTTCTACACCGCGACAACCTACGCTGATCCTGACGCTGCTTGGAAGCAAGCCTGGGACGCCTTCCAGGATGACGGCAAGTGTGTTGAGGGTTCTACGGGACATGCGAGTTCCATCTCTGGAGGCTTCAAAGCATACGGTCCGGGTGAGCTGAAGGCGGAGGATCAGCCCAAGGGAAATGGAGGCGGAAGCGGAGGCAGTGGAAACGGGGATGACGAAAGCGCTGCGAGCATTGTCGGAGTAAGTGGCTTGGTGATTACCGCTGCTGCTATTGTTAGCGCTATGATGCTGTAGATAGACTGTGGTGTTTCCGCTTTCGCGTTCAAATGTTCACAACAACTTCGCCTGTCCTTTCCCTATACATTGCGACACCTAATACTACTGCACTTCTTGATGTTGCAGTATCGACCAAAGTTGAATTGCGATTAATCTAAGATACCAAACCCCCATGTCCCCATCCCATCATTATATAACCCGGGGTATATCGTCATCTATCGTGCTTCACATTCCGTTTCCAGTCTGGCCTAGTTGGGCCGCAGCACAACGTCTCCAACACAAAGCACCATGTTCTTGAAGAACCTTCTCCACTCCAAAGGATCTCCACTAGCTTTGACAAACCTCACCTCCCAGTAGGCACTTCCATCATAGATGGCCTTTTCGATGACGATGTGACCATTCAAGCCTTGTCGTCTTCCATCTGCCATCTTCACCCGTATAGAGGCTGTCCCCGCTTTTTCCGCTTCCTCGATCTGCGTCTCGGTGAAGGTCGGTGAAGGGACGCCTAGCCGGTGCAGAGCTGTGAGGAGGAGAGGCAAGAGTAGACCAAGGTTATGCGGAGAGATGAAACGCGCCAGGGAATAGGACGGAAGAATATCGGCGAACTTTCGAGCTGCTTGCGTAAAGGTCAGAGGCACACCTGGAGTCGAGCTGAATTGTGTCATGGACGGGTCCTGCGATAGCATGTCCTGTGTCGATGAGGGAAGCTGTGATAAGCAGGGCGTAGAGCTCATGTTGATAGGACGATTGTCGGGGATCGTAACAGGTTGCGAGGCGGAGATGCCGTCGTGAGAGGCGAGGCGTGGGGGTCGCTCCCAGTCGAAGGGTGTTTCTGCCGATGGAGTCTCGGGTTGTGTGGAGGAGAGGAAGTTTACAGCGCTTGAGCGACGAGGGTCTGCGTCAGTGTCTATGTCCATCGCGTCGCCATCTTCGTCTGCGTCTTGCGAGAATTCTCTTTGTGACTGCGTTGGCGGCCTTGTGAAGTCGATGCGTAGTTGCGACAACATCTGTGTCGCCAATCCTACTGGATTCGCATTGCGTCCGCTTGCAGTCAAGTAGGGGTTCTTGCGCGTACACCAGGGGTGTGTGCGTATCTCATCGAGAGTAAAGCGCTCTTTCGGGTCGACTTTCAACATGCCACGGAGCAGACTGAGTAGCTCCGCTGGGATCTTGCTCCAAAGTTCATCAGTAGTGT